AACAGAGACTCTCAGACTCTCTTATAAAATCAAATGAAAAATATGGAGCAATGTTGGCACATTTTTTCATTGCTGTTAGTTTTATAATAATAAATTGGGTCATTGCTACCCGGCGCAATCAATTGAGAGTTCAAAACCATTGTCTTTTTGGCCGTTTGAAAGGTACCGTTTATTTTATTTTTTCTCGTCTATCGGCCATACCATGTCACGCTACCGAAAATTGTATGATGAAAATGTATTTCAAACTCGACGATTTTTTTGTCACCATCAATATCAAGAGCACGTTCATCATGTAATTGATATTGGTAGAGTTATATGATTTACGATCATTACGCTTATTAATTATATGAAGATTAGTAGCGGTAACAACAGTGCGGGATACACACGTATTTATCTATTTTTACAATGTAAAAATATTGAGATTCGATATTGAAAAATGCTGTTCAATTTCATCAAATGATATGCATGTATTAAATGAAAGATGATCGCAAACCAAATTGCTAAGTTTTTTTTGTGTGATTTCATTCCCATTTGGTTCGAGGCAGACCAGCAATCGAATGTCGAGCTTATTGGGCTGACTGAGTCTCTTATGCTGACTTTTTGATCTGTGTAAATTAAGTTGGGGTTAGCTTGGGTCACGCAATATAATTTATATACATTTCCTAAATGGCATGCAAGCAATAACGATTCATAGGTCAATTTTATTGTTCAATTGGTGTCTTCATTTTTTTTTGGCGGCATGGTGTGGATGCCGTATGATTCTTGTTGATCGTCAATCGAATGTGTCGTAATTTTAACATTAAATAAAACAGCAATCGGTGACAGTGAGAATCAAAAATACCACTGGACACATTTTTCTTCTTGGTACACACGATTTTTTTCTGTATGTATTTGAAACAGTTTGTTTCTTCAACTATCGACAGACGTTGAAAACTAGCATAATTGGGTCATTTTGAAATTTTAACACTCACTCCAAATTGAAATATATATGTGGGAAGTGTAAAACTTTTTCAAATTGAACACCCCAAATAAGCCATTTCGTTATTGAACTCTTTAAATAAAACTAGATATCAATAATTCATAGTTTAACCAGATTTGTTGTCATTAAGCGGATCATAGAAAATGTCATAGCTTTCTCTGGAATCGATTGTCAAAAACATAAAAATTGGTGCGATTGCATTGATATTCGAATTGATTTTTAAATATTTTATCATTTTGAATAGAAACGCGATTCAAATGTGAACAAAGCGAACTCACCTTCATTCAAAACCAACAACAATAATATTAATTCCTTTCTGTCTTATCTTCTCTTTTTTTCATGGACAGCACATTTGGACTTATGACGGTCCTCTCACTAAAGCCAAATTTTTGTACAATTGAACGAATGACGGCGATAGCAAAAGAAAAAGAGCACCACAACAACAGCCTATTGTTGTGTGCAAATCATGGCATTTAAAAGGAAACGACAACACATTCAATTTTCCTTGTCATTGCCACCGTAATTAATTTTCCATAAAATGTACAAAAAAAAACAAAACATTCTATTTTTTTCTGCCTCTCTCATTCACAACGTAATGATTTTGTGCATATTTAAAGAATCAGTAAGCCAATTACAGCCAATATTAAATTGTTTTAATGAAAAAGGATAATAAAATATCGCACGTAATCGCAAAGACCTTTGTTGATTGAACCGGCTGCGTGAATGTGTGGTTAAAGTTTATGTTTATCGTTCTTTAAAAATAAGTTAATTTTTGTCATGTTTGCAACGAACTTTATCACTTAATCATCTGTGTAATAAGTGAAGACCTTAAATTGTCCATACTTATATATTATGCGCTTGATATGTTGTAAAATTAATGATTTGATGGATTCAACCATCATCTTTGTCGGCATTTTACCATCATCGTACGATGTCGATGTTTCGTTTTCAATAAACGAATTGCGCAAATTCGGAAAAGTATGACGTCAAATATGTCAACGCCATACAAAACAATTTAATTCGTTGAAAAAAAATTTTTGATAATGATGCCACGAATTTTTTTTTCGTTTATCTTAAAAACAGTTTGTTCACCTGAATAATATGTTTGAAATCCTGACGGAAATTTAAACTATAGTTATACTTCCTATAGGAAGATTTATGTTCCATATGAATAAGAAGAAGACTGAAATGCATCAGTTTTATTTAACTTGATAACATCATAAACTTAAAGAAGATTCAAATAAAATCAAACTTTCGTTTGGTCATTACACGCATTGCAAATATATGTATTGATTATGTAATACAAAATTGGAAATGGCCAAAGAAATGGGTCAGAAAATTAGCTGAATATTCGAATATTTTGTTTTGGACGAGAGTCATTGTTCTTCACAATAAATACGGTACTCTAAAAAACGAGAGCGTAAACAAACTTAAACAAAAGCATTGGCAGCAGTAGCGACATGCTTGAATTACACGTGACTTTCAATTGAATTGGAAGTAGCCTTTTGTTATTAGAAATTAAAACAAATTAGCATGAAAATATGTGATGCCATCGATGCTATCTGTTTGTTATGTTTTGTTTTATTCGCATCTTGTTGATGTCTAGCATTCGTAATTTGTTCAACGCCATTCATAATTGCGCATCTCTCATCATAATTGTTATTGAGCGCGCGAAAAAAATGATTTTTTTTTTTTCAACCAAATATTCAACACCATTTGGATTTCATCAATACTCTCACCGACCTGCGAACAGTGGAAAAACAAATTCAATGTTATTGATTTAACTACATCTGATCTGTTATTTTCTACCATCTGCTTGTTCGGTAATATTGCGTTTGGCATTCAACAGTGCTCATAAATTTGGCAAGATGAAATTTGCTCTCATTGCAAATTTTTTTGAATTTTAAATTCATTTGCACGTTTATTCAGTAACTTGTACACTAAAGCGAAAAAATAACAGAGGAAGCAAAAGAAAGAAAGATCGTGAAAGGGAGAAAGAGAGAGAGAAAGGGACCGCTACTTGAATAAATGTCAAAAAATCAAATGTTTTAATACGTTGAGTGTCATTATTATAGCGAAATAAGCCCTTGAAATTTTACTCTTCATACTGCTAACGATGCGAATCCACAATATAGATAAATGGCCAATTGGTATGGTGTGTTGCAAACAATTATTAGATCCATTGATGGCTACTACATTTATTTTTTTTTAGTTGGCTTTTGACATTTTTGTATACGATGTTCACATTTTATTCACATTTTAGCATCGTAATTTACAAGAACTTTACATCATATGGTGTGCATTTACATTTTTGCTCATCGAATGCATACGGATTTCTTCATGATTAATGAACTTTGCTCAACTTGATTTATTGTGAAGTTCCGTGGTCCCATCGACATTAAAATATTTGTAGATCGATTGTGATTCGATTGCGATTAAAATTGCTTTCTTGTGGAATTTTCTATAATTTATAAATGACAAAACTTGTAGTACAACTTTACTGTGATCGCTAATCAGATATATTATTGCTGAAAAAAGAGACATACAAATTTGGTTTGATGAATTAATTGCATAGATTACAATCAACCTCGTTCATTCAAGTGATATTTCAGTAGAATAATTAGTAAATCATATGGATTCTATGAAAATGGCATATATGCGCTCAACCTGACTTCCGACAATGAACCGGTCATTTCCCATTTTTTTCCGCTTTTCACATATAACAATTGAATAAAGTTCAGAGTCACCGGCATTATGGATTTTTCCGTGCATTTTCTTTTGTTCTGTAACAAAAATTTGCTAGATCTTTTCAGGTTAGAAACCACATTTGAATTTTTTTTCTCCCGCTGGTTGGTGTGGCTAGACATCTATGAAATGTTTAACCATAAAAGAGCGACAAATGCGATAAACATCAAATGTAAACATAATTTATAAGCTATTTTGATTGCATTCAATTTGCAATTTTATGAAATGATTTATAACGTTGGTTCACGATTTTCAATATGTAAGCATGTATTTGTGAAAATTATCAAATAGATAGAGCAAATATAATTTGTGTTGGGCGATTTTGTAGTCGGTTTCTTCGTGGTTCTATCGATTTACTTCTTACTATTCGACCCAGATGCATGGGAAAAATGTGAATTTCGTAAAACTTTTAATTGTGTGTTTGTTTTTGTTTTTAGTTTGAAATTGAAACTTTGCAGTTTTGGCGATTGGCCTAAAAATCAGAAAGCATCCATTTGCATTTTTGATGAGACACACAAGAAAGCATATTAAGTCAATTATTGTTGTTGTTAGTCTCATTACATTTTTTTTTTGTGTATTGAAGGATGCTCGGATAGAGTCAAGATGTGAATGCTGGTTGGCATACTTGAAATTTTTCGAGTGATTGAGTCTCGTTGAGGAGTGGGTGATTAGTTTTATTCATGTGTGTCTTGGCCGCCGTCGCCGACGTCGTCGCTGCTGCTGATGGTTCTTTGAGATGGCGAATATTGTAAAATAATATGGAAAAGGTACAGCATACCACATCGTGCCATCTTCATCATATGATTGTGTGTTTGGATACCATCACACCAAATCGATGTATGTGCATGCTAAATAAAAAGGCAATCATACCAACTATTGGAAAAACCGGAGAGGGATTTGACCCTCTGTGTGACGCTTTATTGCGTGTAAGACGAAGATGCAGTTAAACTTATGAATATTACTGACTGTTTCTCACTCACTATCTCTTTCTCTTTCTCACTCACTATCTTTTGGCCGTCTGTAAGTATGTGTATGAGTTCTGTTTCGCACGTGCAAATATATTGAAAAAAAAAAAATCTATTAGCAGTGTATGATGATTCCAACTGAAAAGGATTGCGCCAATATACCGAATGTATGGAAAAATGAAGAAAAAACAACAACAAAACAAAAAAAAATCCAAACCACCAAAGAAAAAAATGAGGCGTATCGAAAACCATTGATACCAGAGAAGTAGCATGATTCACTTTTTGGTATAAATAACCAAAAATCTCTGCAATGAGACACAGTCAGTAATTTGTTTGCAAACCAAAACAAACCCACCAAACATAAATTGTTTTCTTTGCATTTGCAAATCTAAATAGCAAAACATTACACGAACATTTCGTCGTACACATAAAGTGCTTTCATTGTTGTGAATAAAGAGAAACGAATCTCTTAGTTAAATAAAAATGAAGTCAATTGTAAGTGAATATTTAATATGTTTAGTTTTATCTATGTTGTTTGGTTGATTATAAATTGACGTGGTATTATCTTTTTGAATTGTACCATTTTTGGTTTTCTATGATAAAAAATATCAAGTTGAATCGATTGTTTAAAAGAAAAAGAGATTTGGATAGATTAGAACCAGAAATGTGACTAATTTGCATTGGATAAAATTTCAAAGAATTCCAAATGGAACTGATCATTAAAGATTTTGTAAAATGAATAGATAAAAAAAATACCCAAACATGTTCTATTCAGTGTAAAAAGTTCGCTGTCAGAATATAAGAAAAATAAAACAATACAAAGTGCAAATGCGATTAGGATTATTGCATTGTCGCATAGTTTCTATGCGAACGATACATAGTAGAATAAAACCTCCGACCAAAGTCATTAGTCTCACTTAATCCATTGGCGAAAAATAAATAATACAGTTAACTACTTTTTGCTTGGGTTATTTTTTGCTGAATTCTCCTATTTAAAGCGATTTAAACGAATTTGGCATTTTCAAATAAATCAAAAATAGCCAACAATGATACGAAAAAAAAATTGTGTCAATAATGAAATGTGCTTATGATCTATAATCCCGTTGCCGATCGATTAAAAAAATGTATCTATCTTTCTCTTTCATTCTTCCACTTTGAATTCAAACTCATAGATCTTAGCTACTTTGTTGATGGGATGCGCATTTGCCGCTCCATTACAATCGATAGCACCACGTCAATCACGGCAATCGGAATTTCAACCAACTACCGAACCAATTCCAATTCTTCGTCAAGAGCAAGAAGTTAACTTTGATGGAACATACAAATGGGCATACGAAACAGGTTGGTAACATTTTTCGCACTGATTACATGAACACAATGGATTACACTATCGCTTTTTTCGCTCGAGTAATTTCATTTAAATAAAACAAATTAAATTAATTCAATTTCAAATTACAATAATTCAAATGGCGACTGATTTTCTTTCCGTAGGCAACGGTATTAAAGCAGAAGAGCAAGGTTTCCTCAAAAATGCCGGCGTTCCAGATCAAGAAGCTCAGGTAATTATAAAGAAGAAGAAGAAAACGGCGAAAAGAAAAATAAATAAAAAAAACGACAGAACAAATTGAAATTGACATTTTGATTAAAATCAATGTAAAAAATGTCGATCCGTTGAATATTGCGCATACAGAGACGCATGAGAGAGAAGAAAAAAAGAGTGAACAGAATCTCCCGAAAAAATGTTCAATCGACAAAATGAAATTTCGTGCCGCGTCAGAAGGCCAGACATTTATATGTGTCTGCAGGCCATATGTGTCTGCAGACAATTTTCAATAGAAGCGTTCTATCCAAATGGCAGTTAATATTTAAAACAAGAAAAAAACCGAGAAACAATTTTTCAACTACAGTTCACTAGTCTGTGGTCTCACGTCACATGTACTCAAAAAGTGAAATCAAATGTCAGAATTGCAACAATTTTCGAAAAAACATTTGAAATAACAAGAAAGATGCATCCTACTAAAAAAAAGAGTTGTAATTGAGTAAAGAAAAAAAAAAATGCAAACTGAAGTGAGTCGGTCGAATTGCATATCAAGAACGGTGATAGCGAATAAAAGTATGTTTGGTAAATAAGAAGAAATATGCAAAAAAGCACACAGCTATTACACAATACCACCACGTCATATTGTTCGTGCGAGTATGCGCGTGCGGCATAAATACATTGATATTGACTCGCTGTCCATTTTAAGAAGATGAAACAAAAAATAATTTTTACCTTTGACTTTTCATTTACATTATTTATAATTATAAGCTGTTTGCTTGATTTGTACTAAATGCCGTGCGATTGCCGCATTTTTCTTCATTTTGGCTGTGACGGCGGTGGTGGCGTCGGTGGCATCAACGACACCGATGTTGTTTCAGTCAGTGAGCTCATCTCATTACGAGCCACATTTAAATAAATTAAAAAGCAGTCGCTGAACGGAAAAAGCAACACATCGAAAACGAATTGAATATTTAAGAAAAAAATGAAAAGAGAAGAAGAAAAATACGAAATAATACATATATTTGCAAGCAGCATTTCATTATGTGTACGCGTCTATATAGTTATATTGATGGCGTATTACAGCTAATATGCATATCAGCGAACGATTTGCAATAAGTGGCTTGGCATCTCCTTTGGATGCATTCATGTGCATCGTCATCAAAGTGGACACAATGGCATAACTAGACTATACCGTTTGACACAAAATCAACGGCCCATATCCACACTTACACATATTGCGCAAATAACCATATCCAAACACACATCTATCAATGAATGCACATTTATTTACTCAATCCAACACTCTGGATATTTATTTATGATTCTCATCTCGTCTAGTCTCTCAACCTCACACACTCTCTTCGTAACCTGCATATGACGAACAAACTAATACGATAAAATACATTTGAACCATGATAATAACGTGTATTATTACTTTAGCTTCATCGCTGGAACTGCCACTCAATGGCGAGAGAATAAAAAAGAATAAAAAGAAGTTGATGAATGAAAAAAAAAATCATAAATTATATTACTTGTACAATTTTTATGATTGCTGCATAGTTCGTGGAATCTACTCGAAAACAGTGGAATTCAAACGAGTTATACAGATCGATCGATAGATGGTCAATCAAGAAAAAGGTCAAATATCAATTTCGATTTCATCTCGAACACACACACACCAAACAATTTGAGCAAATCAACCCATGGCTTACGGCCACCTTTTGATTCATTTATGTCAAAAATATAGCGTTCATAACAACAACGGAAAAATTGTTTTTTTTTTTTTTCGCAAATTCAATCGAATCGATTGACTCGTCAGTCTTTTTAAAAAATAAATTGTGATTACGCTCAAATGTGTTTTATTTACGATCAAGGTGCATGAGACCAATCAAACAAATGTATTTGGCAATTTTTAAAAGAAATATGATCACAACTCGAATGAAATTTCAGTTGATCGAACTGAACACGAGTGTCAAAGTAAATTGATTGCAGTTTTTTTTACGCACGTTTGCAAACGATGCAATACAAACCAAACGGCGAATAAAAATATACAAACTGATTTATTGAAATCGCGACACCGCAAATATATTATTCAATGCATTCGGCATATGAGTGAACAACTGAACATTCAATACCTGTTTTTCGCGAAGACGACGACGATGACTTAGTCAATAGCATCACATTCGGTACCATTATGCAAAATAAAATAGCAAATTACAAGAATTCGCAAATGATTCCATCGAATGTGACATTCCAATAATTAAATTGAATAAAAAAAGAATATTTTTGTCTCGTCATTTTTCAACTGTCAACGATTTACAAAACCCAAATCTCATTTTTAAACGATGATACTTTTTTTTCTTCACTAAAATGATGTAAACAACACAAAATTGTGACATGTGAAATTTGAGCCATCGAAATTCTCTTCATTTGAGCCCAAAGCCTCAAATTATGAATTCAATATCCAATTTAATCAATTAACTTCTATTAGGTGTTTTACGATCATATTTGGTATTGTTTTAAAATCAAATGTGCTATTGGCAATTCAATCAACACCACGAAACAGAAGCAAATGGATAAAAGAAATTTAATCGAATTCAAATCAAATATACGACTTTATTTCAAACATGAAGATCAAATTGTATGCAAATATTTACCGTATCAATTAACGATATTGTGAATGACATCGAAAACAACACGATCGACCTTATATGCGTAGGTCACTGTCAACAGTTTAGCACATCGTTTTCTGTTCATTTATCTCATTTGATCTCAACAAAAATCGGCGATTTGCTTTTCATTTTTCATCACTCTGTGATTATGTGACTTCATAAATATACGAAGATGGCTTCATTTTAGCATGTTTTGAATAGGAATAATAGCGTATTTCAACAATTTAATCACCGTGTGATTACCAGCCATTCAATCCGGCTCAATGTGAACGGTGTACAATTCATACGGAATTACTTTGAACAGCAGCTAACATAAATGTACACATTTTTCAGGTTGCCCAAGGATCTTACAGCTACACTGCTCCCGATGGACAATTGATTAGTGTCACTTATGTGAGTTGATGGTTTTTTTTATTTTTAAGTTTATGAATAAATCGTTGAACTGAATATTGTTTCTTTTATGTTTCAGATTGCTGACGAGAATGGTATTTACTAAGATTTTTTACCACTGCAATTTATTTATTTATACTAAAAAAAGTTCCGATTGAATTATTCCTGTTTTCTTGCTTCAATTAGGTTTCCAACCACAAGGCGATCATCTTCCAACCCCACCACCAATCCCAGAAGCGATCCGAAAAGCTTTAGAGTACCTCGCCACATTGCCATCCACAGAAGATCCATACGCAGCTGGAACACAACAACCCGGCTTGCGTGGATAAGATGTATTTTGATTTATCTATCAGTGACTCAACATCCAACACTATTTCAATAGAGATAAAAACCACTTGATACTCCTACATTATCGAATGAATATCAATTAATGCAACGATAAAAAAAAATGTGTACACAACCATTTTCGTCATCAGCCAACTGTGATTCACTGCATTGACACGTCGAAATTGTTGAGAGAAATTATTCAAATTCATACTCGATTCGAACGCTCCAAACAACTTTTCGTCGATTTTTTTTTGTTTATTTTTTACCGAATTCATTCAATCAACACATTACGATTTTTAAAAAAAATTAATGGCTTAACTCATTTGTACATTTTTCCTCTTTTTTTCCTCAAAATTATCATCAAATTTTAAATATTGTTATTGGTTTAACATATTTCCATATTCAATGCAATTTTCTACATTTTTTTATCGATATGAAAATAAATTTGATTTTATTTGTAAATAAAAGCAATTTTGCTTAGTAAAATTTTAAACAAATGTGTTTTTCAATATTATGAAATGGGTTTATTCTCTCACTTTTTTAGAGCTATTACTACTTTTCTCTACACGGAATTACCACTTCAAATTCGATTGCGTTGTGTCAATTATATGTTTAGAAATATGACTCCGTGGCGCAACGGTAGCGCGTCTGACTCCAGATCAGAAGGTTGCGTGTTCAAATCACGTCGGGGTCAATATACACTTTTTTTTACACGTTGGCGTAATCAAAAGTACACATAAAATATATTTGCTTTTTTTTACTTTGAACATTACAAATACGACGAATAAAAAATAACCGCCCAGATATATTGTTGAGCAAGAATTAAAAAATAACTTGAAAATGATTTTTGTTTCATATGAACGAGAAAATTTGTTATCATTTTGTTTTGAAACGGCCCCGATCATACATTGCTTTAGTTTTAATAAGAAAAAATTACAAATTCTTGAAAACAATTGTTAATTAATTTTTGATCAATTTCATATCGAGAAATTTTGAATTACTTTTGATTTTGATACGATTCCCTCTTGTTTTTGGGTAATTTTGACATTTACATAATAGATGAATTTTCGATCATAATAATGAATTTTTAAAAAAATGTGGATGTTGACCCCGACGTGATTTGAACACGCAACCTTCTGATCTGGAGTCAGACGCGCTACCGTTGCGCCACGGAGTCATATATTTAGACCAACAATAAAACAATGCGTTTGTTTGAGCATTTTGATACCATATGTCCATGATAGAAAATTATCTTGCGATTCGCGATCATACATATTTAGCGACTCTTCAATTACATAATATATAAATAGATCAATTCATTTCAGATCGTTCAATGATACAAACTTTGCACACAAAAAATCATTACATTATATATTTTAAAAGAGAATGTTATGTACAAAAAAGCTTTAAATTTTGTAAAAATTTGTTTGTGTGAAATTTTCAAGTCGAATAACGAAAAAAAAAACAATTAACGGCTGTTATAAAAAAAAGTGTCTTAAATTCGGGGAGTCGAACATGCGATCATTGGCATGCTCGGTCGGCACGTTACTTTCATAGCTGTGACAACCTATCACAGAATTGAACGTAATTTCGTTCTGTTAAAAATTATTTTTGGTTGCGTAACATTAGCAGTAGATTTTATAACTTTCTCTGTTGAATTCATGACGTTTGTGACAAAACTTTGCAAACGATGATAACACATAAAACGCGTCTGTAAAATAATCAGATATAGATATCACGCTTATCTTTGTCTAATAAAAGAGTTTTACGTGTTTTTTTATAAATAAAGTTATGACTTAATAAGATGTCGATTTTTTTTTGGATTTTATCAAGATTTCGAAAATAACAAATGTTAATAATGTTCAGCATTTTATGCATCAATTAATGAATTTCCTACCGGAAATGTAATATCAGAATATCGAAATAATTTTCGGCAAGTAGAACTATTTTATGGATTGGTTTGAATGTCATTTGATGGCAATATTATTAAAGCCCAAATCCAATTTTTTTTAGTAATGCTTGACTTAAATTTGAATTAAAAGAGAAGAAATGCACAAACTTCGTTTCTGCACAATTGCCAAATGTGCGAAATAGATTAAAACAGATATTCAGCTGTTCATTTACAAATTGAAGCGATTTTTGTAGGGTTTTTTTCGTGCAAGTAAGTCAAATGTCATGACCCCAAGCTAAAGCAATTTTGAGCTGACTGAACTTTGTACATTTTCTCGATTTTTGTCTCGGAGCATTTGGCATAAAAAAGGAAAATAACTATTTTGTATCGATTTTTCCCGAACTATGTGCATTGTGCATAGTATCATTGTAAATATTTTAAGGTAGAGTAACCAAAAAAAACTTAGCAAGATTTATTAGTTTGTTTCATTTTATTTTTCATCTGTCTTTGTCTTTACTGCTTAAATTTCATTATCGATGAGCAAAACAACTGTGAAAATATCAAGGCTGTGGATTATAATAATTTGATGAGCTCCAGCATATTATGTATAAACTTAATTATCATATTCACGTCATCCAAACATATTTTTTTTTTTTGTTTCATCTTTCAAATTGGCGGTGTGATGGTCACATTTGGTATAAGATTCGACTGATGGATGAGTGAGCGAGTGAGAGTGAAAGATAAAAAATCTCTATCTACGACAATGGCGACGCAACGGACTGAGGTGCGGCCAATGCTCGAATTAAATTCAAATTAGAATAAATTGATGAAAACTGATTGAAATAATTTTGTTTATCGATAATCCTTTCAATCATTTTTTTTTTTGGTAGCTCTCGATTTTTTTTGTCATATAATTTTCAGTTTTGTTTCAGTATTATTAACGCGTTAATGACATATTTATATATATCTGATCGCTGTAAATACTAAAATGGAAATATTTCATCTATAAATGGTTTAAACGTGCTGATTTAATGAAATACACTTGATCAACCCAAAAATTGGATATTCAATGACTTTCCATTTCAATTTACCTAATTTTTATTGAATGTTTTTTTTTTCAATTCGTCTAAGAACGAATAGAATCGAAACGGAACCACAAAATCTAATGCACCTGAGTACAAAAAAAAAACATAAAATCTCATTTCGAATATATTTTTAAAGTGAAAAACATCAAATGGAATCCATGCATAATTATCAGATGGTCTTAACTCAACAGGTTGTTTCATTTGCATTGCTAATTCTACTAATATTTCGTGAATTTTAATATTTCTTCTTAACTTTTTTTCCACTATTATCTTTCGATCAAACTATGAGAAGCTTTAGTTAGATGATGTCTTGTCTCAATTTACCAACTATTCGGAATGACGGATGAATTTATTTTCTGAAAAAAAAAAAAACACAAAATCTGCGTACTTCAATTGGGATTATTATGCACGTGTTATATAAGGAAATTGCGTAATCTAACAAAATGACATTAACACGAAAATAGATACAAAAACAAACACATTTAGAAAGTTGAAAGAAGATGTAGATCGCAGAAGAATAAATATAAACCCAAACGACGAACGAAATTTGTCCTTTTGAAATTTCATTTCTTATCATCTCATCATTCGATCACTTTTTCTATTTGATTTTAAAACATTCGCCAGCGGGATTCTTCTGTTTTTTTTTGCATCTATAGTGTTGATGAGAACAAGTTTATTAGATTGTTATTTATTTCACGTCGAAGTCTCTCTTTTTTTAAAAATAAAACGCACAAAAAATCACACAACGCGAAAATAACATTTTAAAAGTATAAAGTCCTTTTATGACAATAAGAATAAGAAGAAAAAAAATGAAGAATCGAAGAACAAAACAATTAATTAATCAACAGTTATTTAATGTGTCATAGATTTGCAAAACCCAAACAGAGTTTTCTTAAAACATATTTTTTTGTTCCTTTTGAACCTGATTTTACAGAATTTGCTTATCTACATTCAATCGACGCGACAAACATCAATTAAAACACTCATTAAATTGAAGGGCATCATATCTGATATTTTTCAGCCATGAAACGAATATGAAACTTATGCAAAAGAACCATTAAATGAATTCGATGACAAAGGGTGGTTTTGATATAACAGATCGCATCAGTGAAAATGGACAAAGAAATGATTCAATTATTAGAATGTTCAAAAAGCAAAATGTCGGGATTTTTTCTCTGAAAATGGTGCGAAATATTGGATGTCAATGATTTTTGTTGAATAAACCGATAAATATGGATCCGCAAAATATTTGGCTTTCATGAATGATTTTTTTTTTCCAACTTTTTTTGCGGAATTTTTTTTACATAGAAATATAAAAGTTTGTATTGCCATTGCAATTTTTCTATTTAATCTATGAATAGAATTAAGCTCAAGGAGGCTTCTATTCAATGGAGGATTAAAGTATGAATCCTTGAATTGTGAAGTTCACAATGTGAACAAAACAATCTTCCCCTATGCAACGGAAACAGGTCGTTGAAAAGAAGCAAATGATGCAAACAATAGTTATAAAAAGGCGATAAATATTATGCGGTTGTGAATAAAAAAAAGTCTTGCCATTCATCGTGTTCTGTGTCCGATGATTCAATGACGATATGAGTGAGCTGCCTGTTTGAAGATAAATATAAAAAGATAGACGAAGAGAGAATGATGAGAATCAATCCTCGCAATAATTTACGATTTAGAATTTTGCAGTCTGGCGATGCGCATAACAATATACCAGTTAAATGAGACGTTTTTTTTTGCTTCTGGTTGACGCTAAAATATTTTCGCTATTGATTATTAATGATTATCGGCCGTGTGCTTTGATTAAGATGCTGGTTTTTTGTTTTGATTTTTCATAATTTTGTGTTTACTAATTCAATAATCGACAAAAAAGTAACACTAATAATATCATATTTTTGGCGATCAACAACAGGTATCGTTCGTAAGATATAGTGTAATTATGACAAACAGTTATTTCTTTTCGGTGTATTTCTTATACAAGCTGGATTTTTGATGGTATTTGTGTTTGTATAATATGAATTTAATATGTGAACTTATCAAGAGATAGGTTTGGAATCATGCACAAAGTAATAGCTATCTATATATATATATACAAATCGTCGATATTTTTGAGTATAAATATTGGATGCAATCCTTTGAATGGCATCAGAACACATTTGTGATCAAAACAAACACAACCAATCCAAACAAACCCCATTTTTCAACAATGAAAACCTTTGTGAGTAACATCAATTTTTATTACAAAATAAAATAAATTTTTTATTTTTTTTTTGGTGATTGTTTTCACAGAAATTATTTTATGTTAATGAATAAGTGTGCACAATGAAAATAACAATTATTCAAAGTGAAACTATTTTTATCAAATTCAAGTGTTGAAAAAATGTTCAGTGTTAATTTGTAATTAATATACTGATTACTTGGAATTAATGTGCAAATTATAAACTAGTACTTCATTATTTAAGACTCCTTAAACCAACAAAGCAAATGACATTAACGTAAATTTCATTATATTTGTAAATTAGGTCGTACTTTTCGCCGTGGTCGCTGTTGCTTTGGCTGCACCACAAAGTCAAGATCAATCCGCCGAAACTCTTAGATTCGATTCGGCAGTCAACCCAGAATCATACAATTATGCATATGAAACCTCCAACCAAATCAAAGCCAGCGAAAGCGGTCAGATAAAACAAGTTGGATCGGAGTCTGCTATCACCGCTCAAGGTGAATACTCATACATTGCACCAGATGGTACCCCAGTTAAGTTGTCATACATTGCCGATGAAAATGGTTTCCAACCACAAGTGGGTATTTTTTAAAAATATTTTTAATCATTCTTTGATTAAATTTCGAAATAATTGTTTTTTTTTTTTTTTTGAAAAATTAGAGTGAACTCCTTCCAGTGGCTCCAGCAATCCCAGAACAGATTCAACGTGCTCTCGAATACATCGCAGCACATCCACAACCACAACAAAAATAAATCAATTAATCGATTCAGCCCAATTGAAAACGAAAGCAACGAAACAATTTTGCTTTCATAATGATCGTTGATCTTTTGGAGAATAGCTTTGATTTTGTATTTGCAATGCATTTTTTTTCTGATTTGATTGAAGAGAACGAACAATAATTTAGATAAAACGTCAGATGGTTAATTTTATGCATCAGTTATTATACGAAATTTTGTGATTTATATGAACATTATCATTTGATGTCACACCATTTTGAAAAAATGTAACTATAAACAACATTGCCAATCTTGTCTATAAACCTTTTCAAATCATTTCAATAAAATTATCTTCGGAAACGAAGACGCAAAAACAACAACAAAACAAAACATTTTTCTTTATTTTACAACTCAAAATTGAAATATAGGCATATATATTTTCCGCTTCCAATATCCACGCCGTTAATTATTTAAATTAAATGGTTTCCATCATAAATATTTGCGAAAATTTATTCCTCGTCGCTATGTTGAATTTTGTTCGAATCAATACAAAGGTGTCGTTTTGAATTTATAACACATTCGGAACACATCGTGTTATAATAAATTTCTTTGTTCTATTAAACGCTGTGCCAATAATGTACATAAATTAGTTTAACGGAACTTATTTCATTATTTTCGGAACACATTTTGTGAACATAACACATTTTGTGAACACATTTTGTTGCATTGGCTGCGCAAGGAAGCTACTGAATAAAGCGCATTACAACCGACAACCTCAATATTAATAAAAATGGAGCGTTCATGATAAAGAACGTCACAAAAATTGACTATTTTAAGAATAATTAAGATTTATATGGGCGACATCATTGATGCCAATGTTTTGATTTCTATTTTCAGATCACTTCAATGAAATATATTGTTTGAAAAGAAAGACGCAAAAACTTAAAGCATTTTCATTGTTAAATTTGAAATTAGTTTGAGGTGTATATATTTATAAGTATACTTAAGTTATGCTGAATTAAATTAAATATTCATGAAAAGATTTCATCAGATTACGATGATTTCTTTGTATGCTTGAAATTATAAATAAAATAATGGTGTTTGGTTCGAAAAAGAATATTCTTATTACATTATATATGTTTCATACCAACCACAAGTGAGGAGTGAGTATTTTTTAAAAATATTTCTAATCATTCTTTGATTAAATTTCGAAATAATTGTTTTTTTTTTTTTTTTGGAAAATTAGAGTGACCTCCTTTCAGTGGCTCCAGCGATCCCAGAAGCACATCCACAACCACAACAATAAATGAATCATTTGATTCAGTCCGATTGAAAACGAAAGTGATGAAGCAATCGTTGATCTTTTGGTTAATAGCTTTTAATTTGTATTTGCAATACATTTTTTCTGATGTGATTGAAGAGAACAGACAGTAATTTTGATACAATGTCATATGGTTAATTTTATATATAATAATATCAATTATTTTCGAAATTTTATGATCATAATTTGATATCACACCTTTTTGATAAACTGCCAACGTTGTCTCGAAATCTTTTCAAATCATTTCAATAAAAATATCTTCGGAAACGAAGACGCAAAAACAACGACAAAACAAAACATTTTTCTATTCTATTCGTCTATTTCTAGCATCATTTTTTCCACAAGCTGGATTTTTTAATGGAATTTTTACGCACGTGTTTGTATAATATGTATTCTAAAATGTGAACTTGGAGATAGATTTTGGAATTATGTACAACCCGTGTACAAATTTTTTTACGAACAATATATACTCGAATATACTTAGGTAAGTCGATTTAAGCTGATTGGATCGCATACAATGTCTTTTTTCAAATAGTTATAGTCGATTAAATACAAAGTTAACCATAAATATCTTTTGTATGAAACAATCAAAAGCAAATCAAAAACGTTTTTACATGGGAATTGATAGTTTTGAGTATAAATATAGGGAGCATTCCTTCGAATGGGATCAGAACACATTTGTGATTAAAATAAAAACTACGAATTTTTTCCACAATGAAAACCTTTGTGAGTAATATCAATTTTTATTTTTCAAGACAAACGAAATTTATACCCTCAGTAGTTGCCCACTTATAATGTTTTTATACTTTCAAAGTATTACTTTGCATATGTTTTTCTTTTTAATTGTTACTGAGGAAAGTTCTTTACATTTACATCATATTAAAAAGTTTATCAACAACCTCAATATTAATAAATAGCATTCATGATAAAGTACGTCACAAAAATGGTCCATTTTAATTGTAATTTATATGAATGCTTGAGAATAATAATGAAACTTAATTTTCGTTCAAACTGAAGTGTCCCTTCGAAATATTTCCAATAAAAGTGTCCCAAGTTTATATGGCAAACTATATACAAACTTGGGACACTTTTATTGGAAATATTCCGAAGGGACACTTCAGTTTGAACAAAAATTAAGTTTCATTATTATTCTCAACCATTCATATTTGAATGACATTATTGAATCATATTGTTAAAAAGGAACTTGCAAAAACTTGAAACATTTTCATTTTTAAATTAATTGTTTAATATTTAATTATGCTGAATAAAAATATTTCATCAGATTATTAGTAGAATAAGTGATTCCTTTAAACGATTTAAATGGTGAAAAATTCACTTTCGCTATTGGTATGTAACATATAAATACAGAACATCCGCAAAAATACAGATAATGCTCTTAAAATTACGTTAAAAATGTTTATAACTCTTTGCTAAGAATGTGTTATTGAAGTACCAGTCTGGCTGGTAAATAAACCTGTTCTGATTATTTATCCAACAAAACAAAACTTTATGGAACCAAATTAAAAAACGGCCCAATACGTAAACTTCGATTCCGCTTCAAAGTGTCTGAAATATAATATTTCGTTCCTATTTCAATTCTAAATCGTATTCGTTTCAATTGTAGGTACAACAGCTAAATAAATATGGATATGAAATACCTTTTCCAGAATTATGCAAATACATATCGATTTGAGTTGAAGTTCGAAAAAAATTTGTATTATTTGCAGGGATTGTTCCTCTGAGGAGGAGGAATGGTGAGGAGGAAAATGAGGAGGAGGAGGAGAGCGAGGAGGATCCTCCTCCTCAACTGAGGAGGAAAAGTTTTTTTGCTCAAAGGGCTATTTTTATCACAAAAATATCATTTTTAGCTCCTCCTCATTTTCCTCCTCACCATTCCTCCTCCTCAGAGGAACAATCCCTGATTATTTGAAATGTAAATGTTTGAAAATTCAAGCTGATCTGTCTAATCACACCGTCATCACATGTTTATTGGGATTATTATAATAAATGGATTTTCAAGTTCGAAATAAGCCATCGCTGATAATTTGTTTAATGTCAAATTAGTTGTGATGCCAAAACGATGTGATGCCAATGATTTTTTTTTATTTATAAAACACCTTGAATGCATGGAAAATCTCTTTGTGGCATATTCAGTCATAAATATGCATACCGGCCCACTATAAAACAGATCAATATTTGTTCCATATTTAAAGTGTATTTATAACATTTTATTATGTAATGATGAAATGCAATGTTCAATATGAGTTCAATTTGATTTGATTGAATAATACAATAGTAAAAAATAAAATCGATTTGTCACACTTGTTGTTCAACTTAAAGAATTTGCGATGAATTTGATCGTAAAATAAATTAATTCCCTTACGTCTTGAGGGCAATGGTATGTTATTCGTGTTGATTTCAAGAAATGGAAGAAGAAGAAATCAAAGAAGAAGAATCAATAACTCTTTTGTTGTTGTTTATTTTTATTTTTATGGCATAAACTTGTTTCTTTTCTACGATATATTGTTAGTTTCACCTCAAAATCTAACCGAAATTTCCATATTCGGTGGCATGGTCATCTGCTATAGCCAATGTTTACGCAGTTTTGTTGTTGGTTTCAATTACCAGTTCGGGTTATGGTTCATTTTATGAATTAATATGTGCTATCCAAACGGATATAACTTTGAATGAGACAAAAGATCATTGCCATCTTCATTCGATATTTTGCGAATTTTGTACATGTAGATAGGGAGGAACTATAATATTCAAGCGATTTAGTATATTGACACGCACTCAATATCAAAGCTGTATAGATTCATAATTCTTCTTCTCGCTATAAATATTGGACGCGACGGTGCGTTTGTCATCAGAACACAAATTGTGATCAGTGATAACACATCAACTAAGAAACAAATCAAAATGAATAAAATTGTGAGTAAAAAAAAATCCATATTTTGATACAAGACAAAGAGAATAAGGCATATTCTCAGTGATTCTCTTTCGATCAATTTATTATCTATTTTAAAGTGAAAAAAAAAGAATTATATAAGTGAATTTAAAATATGAACAAATGAATAAATAGTGATTTTTTTTTTTTTAAATGAGTAATTTTATCTTTTCCACTGCGAAGTCAACGATTATTTTCGATATCGCTAATGGTTAAAAATAAAAAAATGTCATAATAAATATTATGCAAAGAAAGTGTTTGAAGAAAAAAAAATTATTAAGTTTTTCGATCATCATTTTACAGGCTATTGCTTTCTTCGCTCTCATTGCTGTTTCCGCTGCCGCCCTTCTTCCAGGCGCTCCAGCTCCACCAAGTGGTGACGCCACAGCTCAAACTCTGAGATTCGATTCTGCCGTCAACCCAAACTCCTACCAATATGCCTATGAAACATCAAACGGTATCAACGCCCAAGAACAAGGTCAATTGAAACAAGTTGGACAGGAGTCTGGTATTGCCGCTCAAGGTGGATACTCATACATATCTCCAGAGGGTACACAAATCCAAGTCACATACGTTGCCGACGAAAATGGTATGTACAATGGTCGTACATTTATTTATTTAAAATTCATATTCAACTTATTTCTGCTTTTGTTTAATTTTAATTTAGGTTTCCAACCACAAGGGGACATCATTCCAACTCCACCACCACTCCCATCACATGTCGAAAAATTATTGAAATACCTTGCTGAACACGCTCCAGTACAACAATCAACTTAAACAAACGCATACCGTTTTAGCTTTAGCCAATTTTCTTATGATAGTCATTGGAAAATCCCACTCGAACCACATCCATTTAAAAAACAATAGCTAATTTAATTTAATTCATAAATGAAATAAATTAATAAATCTTTGACTGAAATTGAATATTTTTTCTTCGTATTTATTTTAATATTATTCCCTTTCTAACAATATCGAGTTCCAAATATAGCTTTTTTGTTTGAATTGTGACTTACTATTCTACTAATAGCAAAGAATACAGCTGTAAAGTCTATTTCAAGCAAGTTGTTCGAAAATATAGATCTCTCTGATTTCGATATGAATTTAGTAAAATTCGGAATTATTTAAAGTACAGAATCTGTAGTACAGTCCAGTTGCCTTATGTATTCAAGTTTTTGATCGGTGCCATATATGAAAGTTCCAACAAGTTTTTTAATGTTAGATACTTTGGTAAGGATTATTTTTCGGCAATAAGCGCACATATACTTGCTACTTTTTGATTGATGGAGTTTTTTTTTTTGAAATCTCATTTGAACTGAATTGAAAAGAATTGTTTCAATCAAAATTAATGCTTTTCCATCCAGGTGGTAGACACAATTTCGAAAACTATCAATACTCAGACCGGTGTCTCCTCCTAGCTTCTCAACTATCAAAATATCCGTGTTCAAAAACACTCAAAGGTCCATTGGTTCTATTCCGAGGCAAAATCGAAAAAATACTATCTGTTACCTCCCACAAAGTAATATATGAATTAAAATTATGTTCAAGATTTAAAATAATGAGGTAATAATTCATTGAAATAATCATTCTTATGGCATTTTTAAACTGGCCCCTTGATATTCATGTTTTTGTCATTTCACATTGTCTGGTTTAAAAAAAAATTATTTTGAATAAATTCAAATTATTTACACTTCTCTTCTTTTCTTTTTCTGAAATAAGCGATTGATTCGAGCCATCAATTAGCACTTTGTATTCGCCTACATTTTATTTAATATGTTTAATGTGCAGTTAAAACATTTGGAAATGGCATTCTCTTGAAATTATAGTTCAACGAAACTATAGTTTTTGAATAATCAAAGATCGAAAAACCATAAATGCTCGTCACATCAAAGAATACACGCGAAATGGAAAGTGCTAACCGATTTCAATCCTATCTTTTGATAATTAATTAACTGGCTTTGCTTGAATGTTATTGGTGTGATTGCAGTCTTTTTTCAAGAATGTTTTTTCTATAATCATCATAAAATCTGGTTAGAACTTTTTTATGAAGCATTTTTTCTTTTTCATTTTGTTTCATACATAAATGCAAATTGTTGTCGCGTATCTATGTGCGAAATAAAAACGAAAACAAAGCACATAACAAAAACGTTTCTAAGCCATCTAATTAATTAAATATTAGCAATATTTCAACTATTATAATGGCTAAATTATGCATCAGGAACTTTGACCGTCACATCAACGAAACGTTGATTGACAGAAAAAGATTCAAATTACTCAAACATTTTTAATAAATGTTATTTATACATGATGATATTTTAGCTCAAACGGATGTATATATCTCGCTATGAAGTTTTTATCAGTGATGTCAAACAAACGACCTTTTCTCATCGAATCTGTAATACATTTTAAATATGAATATACATTGAATATGACATATAATTATACATATTTGGTTAACATTTCATCCACTTTCTTCTATGTGGAAGCTCTAAATGTTGGAGCCTTAATTAGAATTACCTTGACACTTTGTTGTTTTCTCAATATGAAATGAATATAAAACGCGTTGCCAACCATTCTTTTCATGTGTAAAAATGTAAAAATATTTACGAAAAGGTCATGAACGATATAATATTGTCTAACTGATATTAACTGTTACAAAAAAAATCTCGATAAAAAAATTCCGTTAACATTTGACAAATATCGATCTTGATTACGTCAAAATGTGTGCATTCAAATTGTACAATGAAGAATGTGTGAGGGAAGAAAAGACTATGTCAGATAAGTTTATTGAACAAAACAATAATCAACTTTTTATATGCTAAAAACTGGACGTTTTTATTGTTTTTTGTCTACATAATCTGAATTTTATGTTTCAACAACAACAGCAAAAATGTCGAACTTGGAATCTGCATTAAATATGAAACCATGGTGCGTTTGTTATTTATTTGTATTGAACTTATTTTTTGGACTCAAATGACTAGCTTTTTTCTCGATACAAAACAAATTTGCGCCAAATGAGAGGTATTATGAGAATTTGAAATCCATTCGAGCAAGCAGTGATTATCAGAGTTAGCAACGGAGGTGATTTTTCGACTCCGAACCCGGCAAACGCCGAGACTATTAAATTTGAATCCGATCGATCGGATCGGATCAGTGGTCAGACTTTTTCGGTGCTCGGAGCTCGGACAAAACTTAATGCAACATTTATTTGAACTGATGTTAATGAAAAATGAATGGGTCAGAATAAAAAGTCGATTTTTAATTTGAGTCCATAAAAGCAATGACCACACATGGAGAATACTCATAGAAACACGTTGACGGTGGCCTAATCACTGAAAAGTACGTGGCCGATGAAAACGACTACCACTGAAAAGTACGTGGCCGATGAAAACGACTACCAACCGGTTGGCGATCACCTCCTGCGGTAGCTTCTGAAATCCCGGCTATTGTTCGCGCTTTGGAATACTTTCGCGCCCACCCACAAAACCCATAAAATGTTTCTTGTTTTTAGTGTGGTTTTATTGGAGGAAACATCCGAGATAAATTTATAGCAAGATAAATTTCCAATCTCATAAGCTCTGATATTATTGTAGTTAAACACATTGTGTTCAATTTAACCACAACATAATAAAAACTTTTGTCAACACTTTATACACGATCGTTTTATTTTGCTTTTTTTCCACCAGTCGTAAACACAACTGTTTGTCGAGGAGCAAAAAACTCAATGACTTAACTGATTCTAGGTATTAATGAAAGCTAAATTAGGCACGATAAAAATGCAAATTGTTCTAGTTTCTTTATTGGATATAGAAATTGAAAGAAGAATGGCAAAAACTTGACCAGTTTACCTTGCGAACAAATCAGCTGCAAAACGGTTGAAAACGGCCAAATATTTTTTTCTGTGGCTACAGAGGCAACTTATATACATACTCACTTTCTTATACCTAATTAAATATTAATTTTGGATGAAAAAGGTTGTTGGTAGTATCAAATGTGTAAGAAACGGACAGAAATAGAGATTACATATTTCGATTAAAATTATACAGAATTCAATCGTTATAAATGTATTCTAGGAATATTGAACCGCGGATATATTTAGAGCCATGAAAATGAATTAATTTTGACCGAATATTTATTAAAAATTATTGGAAAATGTAAATGTTGGTTTTATTTCAGTCAAGTTCATTAGTTTTATATACAAATATGTTCAAAACTCATAGTTGGACTTGGGTGTTTTTTTTCCTCAATAATTTCAAATAATAATACTCAATGTTCATCTTAATTATATTCTGTACTTGAGCATCTGCTTATTTGTTCAATGTATACAATTGGAAAGTTGTCGCTTTGAACTACAATACAGAAGCTTATTCAATAATTTGTAATTACATAACAATGGAAAAAATACACATCATTGAAATTGCTATTACTTCACACATACTTATTTGGTAAATATTTCGTATTATTTTTCATAAAGTGAAGAAATGAATTCATCTGAGTGTTCGACGAAAACTTTGGATTGTCAGAAGACAAACAAATCGTCTGTAACCGAAACAAATGTATTGCTTCAATTTTTTGTGATTTATCTGTATGACACAATACCTATATGAAATAATAATTGATTGATAACATGTGATAAACCTTAGATATGCCGATTTACATTTAAATGTATTATCTTGCGAAACTGAATTTTTGTGTCATGATTCGAACCCTTAGACGAATCACACACACAATATGTGTTTGTTACCATAATTTAATAAGAATATACGTGACCAAAAAACGTTTGATCCACGTTTCTATTTGCATTTTTATGACAACATTATACATTAAATGGTTTTTTCTACCAATTCCTCAGTTATTGGTACAAAAATTATTCACATTTTGTGCGTTGAAAATTGTGAATATCTCTCATACACATATTTTTTTGCGTAACCTATGCAAATTGAAACTTACCAAAAAATATGACCACAGCGACATGTGTGATGAACGCTGGCCAAATTTTTTTAGTATAAATACGACGTCGAAAATTTGACAGAGCATAGAAGTCATTTCGTGCTCAAGTGATTGAAAACAAAAAAAATCAACCAAAATGAAATTCGTGAGTATCCAAAGTAAAACCGATCTTCAAAGAAATAAATAAAAACGAAAAAAAAAAAATGTTTACCAAAAACAAATAACAAAAATGTCATATTTGAACATTTGAAAAGTATAAAGAAAATGGGGACATTTTGAAAATTAAAAGTGTCAATTTGTTGTTGTTTGAGTTCAGAACGAAGCTAATCATTGTGTGGCACGATTTTCGACTCCAACGCGAAATGACGCAATCTATTTGTTTGAATTGTTTCATTGATCGTTATGTGATTTTTGTCTTCAATTTAGGCTATTGTTATGTTCGCCCTCATCGCCGTTGGCTCGGCCGCTCTTCTCCCAGTACCACCAGCACCAGCAGCACAATCAGCTGATGCTACCGCTCAAACTCTCCGAAATGACGCCAAAGTTGAAGCAGACGGATTCCAATATGCATACGAAACATCAAACGGAATCAAAGCCGAAGAACAAGGTCAATTGAAGACCATTGGAAAAGAACAAGCTATCGTCACACAAGGTTCATTCTCATGGGTTGCTCCAGATGGTCAAACATTCACCTTGAAATTCGTTGCTGATGAAAATGGTTTCCATCCCGTCGCCGATCACTTGCCAGTTGCTCCAGCTTCTTCCAAATAAATTCTGCAATTTGAGAAGCAACGCTTTTACAAAAAAAAAACTACAATAGAAAACCCAAATAACATGGGATCAATTTGTGGTAATATCATGATTGATTTCATTGCGATAAATCCATCCAAAAATAAAAAATAAAAAACAATATTGAATTTATAAATAATAGTTTTTTTCTTGCACTCGTTCTTTATTTTTAATTCATTAATGAATATAACAATCTCTTTCATAATGCAATTTTGATAGAAAGTTATAAAGACAAAGAAAAAACTATACGTATGATGACTATTTTCAAGCAAACTAAAGGGTGTTTTTTTAGGAGGTTTGTTTTTTAAATTGATATAAATCACATAATTTTTTTTTATTTTAATCGTGAAAATTGCTTTATTTGGTAGAAAAATCTCTGCCATTTATGGTTTGAAAAAGATTTCTGGCATATAGTCGCCATGACCACTTTTTAGATAGGTCAATTATCCAGACCTTTTTTGGTCAATTTTTTGATCATACCAGATCCTATAATATTTGATAAATGGGTTTGAAAAAAAGAAATTCTGGTAGATTTGAAGACATGGTAAACTAGTGGAAGTCCTGAATTTTTTCATTTCTATAGAAAAAATAACACTTTAGTTGACCAAAAGTGACATTTTATACTTCGTCGGCATTTTTGAAAGATTTTTCTTAAAACTTCATCTGGTGCCAAAATTACGACTATAAATGCCATTATTGATGACTGTTTGCTTCCAAATATTGCCAGTCATCATCTGGAGCCATTTTAGTTCCAATAAAAAAGCAAAATTTTCCAAACAGAGTTGAATTATATGAATAAAATAATGTTCTGCAAAATTAAAGGCTAAATGCTTATACAAGATGTTTTAATATTAATAGCTTTTAATTCCATTTACGTAGTGAAAATTAAACTTTTTTATTGCTTCTTTTGTGAAGGTAATAATGTCTTCGATAATGTGCGAGGTAATGTTTTTGAGTGAAAAATCCATGTGAGCGTGAATCCATGTTGAATAAAGATACCATTAGCAAAGTTTTTTGACTATTTGATCTGAGTAGAAAACAAATAATAACGAAAAAGAATGAAATTGCACATCCCCGTATGTAATCCCTCGAGTGTCCAACTTCCAGAACACTTTAGACCAAGAAGGATCCACCTACTCCACAAGATTCACTTCTAGCTCTTTTCATCTCACTCTCGCATATAAATCCAGTTTACTCTATAATATTGTATGAGATGAAGCAAATGATTCAATTCCATATGATTTCCCAACTTCTAGAACACTTTGGACTAGGTCGGATCCATCTGCTCCACATGATTCACTTCCAGCTCATATATCATTTTTTATTATTTTTGCGATTTTCCCATCGGAAAAGAGAGAAAAATCGTTTGATAGTTTTTTGCTTTAATATTCAGAAATATTCATGTCATATTTCACCTGAATATTGGGGTTCTTGGAACTACCAAGGGACATATCTAGTCCCTTATCAATCTGGGGAACTTTTTTTTGTCCTAAATGTCATAACTTGGACCCATCTACCACATACAGTATTTTGAAACAAAGATTTTTCCAAATCCGGGGATTTTTACTGGTAAGAGATTATAAATTGCGTCAATTTTCATTTAAAATGTGTGTGGGTCCAGATCCGAACGCTACGCATATGACAACAGAAAGTAGTGCTAAACGGAGGATTAAAGCAAATTATCTCAGGTTGGTTGACCATCTTCTTCGTGCGATGAACCTGGAATATTTTTTGTGCAGCAAATTGAAGTGTATGGTCTATGCGGATAAGCTAACAACGATTAAGCATTTCTAAGGCCAAAAATCATCACGTTATTCTCGAGTTATTGTCATCGATGTCCGAAAAAGTAACCAAAAATGGACTTGTCGACTGACCTATGTAAAAAGTGGCCATGGTGACTATATGCCCGAAATCATTTTCGTACCAAAGAAAGCAATTTTCACCATTTAATAAAAATCTATGTGTGTTTTATTTCAATTTAAAGTCAACCTCTTAAAAAAACACCCTTTATAAATGAAAAAACAAAAAATCAACTTAGATAATCAATTCACTAGATGATCCGAGAAAGTAGAAAACAAGCAATATAGAAACGTAATTTATTTAAAAAAAATTAGGTTACTCGCGTGACTAGTTGAGCATCATAAGAATTTTTAGAGAACATCACACAATTCAAGAGAAAAGTATGCTTTTTTCGAATTAAAAAATGAAATTATTCAATATCAAGTTGCCAAATTCTAAGTAAATGATTTCTATATACTTCTTTTTTTTTGTTATCATTGCAGTGCAACTGTTTGCTGCTAAAAAAATATTGAATGTCCAACAAAATTAATGTGAAAATAAATGTTCATGATAATTTGCATATTTGACTTTTTTTGATTACCATTCCTCTGTGGCCTGGTTAACATTTAACGGTACATTTTCTCTGTTGTACGAAATGATCCTGGATCATTGATCCATGTTGGTCAAGCACTAATTCGTAAGGTTTTTTTGCACATTTATCTTGAAAATCACTATATGACCGCTCAATATGTGCGTTATTAATCCTACAAACGAATTGTTTTTAAGATATACACGTCAATTCGAGTCTTACACATACTTCGTTCATAAGGAGGAATAATGCATGGACTGCTGCATTAAATATCGGATTCTCACAAAATATCTCGGATATTTATCTATGCTCAGCATATGGTCTAGATGTGATCTTCGTGAATACTCACACTACAATTGCAACAAAGGTTTAAAAATCAGGTAATCATATTTATAAAAATGTTCCACTTAATATCATAGAGAAATCATTGCTGTCAGCAAACGATGGCGCTACACGCCATTTGAAGTGCAGCGAACTCAAGAGAGTTGAATATAATTTTTGTGTTTTTACGTTTTACTCAACCTTCGTGCCTTCATTTTTTTCATATATTCTTCTTTAGCTAACTAATTACCAAGAAGCCTTTTGACATTTACGAATCAGCATGTCTCGTAAATGACAAAAAACTAGATTATGATAGCAAACCAGTTATCGAAATGTGTTGAGTGCATATATGAAATGCTCCTTATTAGTCAAAAAAGTTGAATTCGTTTTATTTATTTGCATTTTAAAATCGTTTTTAAATCACTTTTTCTTTCGATTCCTTCATTCATTGGTGTGAAAATTACGTACGTTTCAAATCATGCATATTATATATATGCATTTTTTGCATAGCTTATGTAAATCCAAGTGAACAAAAAAATCAACCACATCTTCATCGTAGAGCAAATTTTTTGGTATAAATACGACACCCGAAATACAAAGGAGCATAGAAAGCATTTTGTGCTCAAGTGATCAAAATCAAAAACAATCATCCAAAATGAAATTCGTGAGTATCAAAGTTTTTTTTTTTTAAATAAAAACATGTGAAAAGTGAATTAAAAAAACTCCAGTCGGAATATTTTGATTAAAAAATCGAAAGTGTCAATTTGTTGTTGTTTGAGCTCAGAACGAAGCTAATCATTGTGTGGCACGATTTTCGACTCCAACGCGAAACGACGCAATCTATTTGTTTGAATTGTTTTATTGATCGTTATGTGATTTTTGTTTTCAATTTAGGCCATTGTTATGTTCGCCCTCATCGCCGTTGGCTCAGCCGCTATTCTTCCAGGAGGTGATGCTAGCGCCGAAACTGTCCGAAGTGAATCCAATGTTGGAACAGACGGATTCCAATATGCATACGAAACATCAAACGGAATCAAAGCCGAAGAACAAGGTCAATTGAAGACCATTGGAACAGAACAAGCTATCGTCACACAAGGTTTATACTCATGGATTTCTCCAGATGGTCAAACATTCACCTTGAAATTCGTTGCTGATGAAAATGGTTACCAACCCGTCGCCGATCACTTGCCAGTTGCTCCAGCTTCTTCCAAATAAATTCTGCAATTTGAGAAGCAACACTT